TGTCAACCCTGAGAAAAAGACTCTATCAACTCTATCTAGGCCTCTATCAGGTCTCCTCTCAGCCGCCGTCTTTCCAGTGAAAGCAATCTTAGTCTTTTTAACATTTCCTCATAGCCAATGCCCTCGAGACTGGGCAACATCCTGGTGAACCTTCTCCGCACTCTCTCCAAAGCTTCCACATCCTTCTGGTAATGTGGCAACCAAAACTGCACACAATACTCCAAATGCCGCCTAACAAGGGTTTTATATAGCTGCAACACGGTTTGCCAATCTTGTACTCCATGCCCTGACCGATAAAGGCAAGCATGCCATATGCCTTCTTAATCACTTTGGCCACTTGTGTTGCCACTTTTAGGGAACTATGGACCTGTATGCCCAGATCTGTCTGTATATTAATGTTCCTAAGAGTTCTGCCATTTACAGTATAATTCACACCTAAATTTGATCCTCCAAAATGCATCACCTTGCATTTGTCTGGATTAAACTCAATCTGCCATTTCTGTGCCCAAGTCGTCAATCTATCCATATCCTGTTGTGTCATTTCACAATCATTGGCACTATCACCAACTCCACCAACCTTTGTGTCATCTGCAAACTTACTAATCAGGCTGCCCATATTTTCCTCCAGATCATTTGTATACAATGCAAACAACAGAAAACTAAAAGCCTATTTACCTCTCCTTTCAAACTCAAGGTCCCAAATAATATAATAAATCTTCATCACAACACATTGCTGAATGCTTATCTTGATGCCATGTTTGAGAGAAGTCTGATTCAGATGGAGCAGTTAGTAACAGGAACTAAAACAATAGCTTTGGTCTTCCAAATATTAACATGGGGGAAACTGAAAGAACTGCGGATGCTGTAAATCAGGGACAAAAACAGTAGTTGCTGGAAAAGCTCAGCAGGTCTGGCAGCATCTGTGAAGAAAAAAATCAGAGTTAACCTTTCGGGTCCAGTGGAGGAAGGGTCATCGGACTTGAAACAATCATTCTGATTATTTTCTTCACAGATATTAACATGGGGGAGACTACTGCTCATTCACTCTTGGACAAACACAATGGTGTTCACATACACGTGCTGTATACACACCCGACCCTTCTTCTCAAGTGCAGGCTGTGGGTTTGGGCGATTCCGATGGGTTGTAGAAATATAAAATCCTACTCCTTCAATTCTCATCTCTCCCGCAGAGGCCACACTCTCGCCTAGGTCCAGACTGGCCACTCGGGTTTCAGTGACAATCTGACAGCCTTTGAGTAATGTTTTTAATGAGTATCAGCCTCACAAATTTGCCAGATTCATTCAACTCATTTTTGCATTCCTGTGAGTTTCTCACTCACCTCTTCTACTGCTTTAAATCAGTTTCCCGGGATATTGGAAGGGAAGAATTTGCAGCTCAAGCCAACTATCACATCAGGATCTGAAAGTGTTACCCAAAATACTCCAACCCGAGATTCAGTGACTTTTTACAACGGGAGGAAGAAAATCACTATCTCCACTGGCTGCAGTGGTAGCAGTGTGATATGTCTGGAGAGGAAACTCCTGGCATCATCGAGGCAGCAGTGGAACCAGGGACTCTTGGTCGCGGTCGGCCTGGAGCGGGGACTTCTGGTCATGGGCAAAATGGCAGAGGAGCAGGGGCATCCTGTTTGATAGACAAGTGTGAGTTCAGTATGGGATTTGGCAGCATTGGCATGATGGACCCAACAGTGTAGAGATGGCTCCTAGGTACCAGTGTGAACTAAACTTCTTATTTATCTATTTTTCTAACTTATTCCTATGATTTGTAATGGTAAACTTTTGATTTCTTTATTTTTCCTAAGAATTTGTACTTAAGCATCTCTAGCTAGGTACCTTTGTACCTAGGATGGTGTTGTAAGTGGCGACTTGTAAACTTTTCACTGTGTTCATTTGAGTATATGTGACAATAAAGCTAATTCAATTCAATTCAAGGTGGAAACTATAGACATGTGGATACTGAGAGGAAGAATTCAGATCCCTGCCTGAGCTGGAAGTTAATTGGTACAGTCATATCAGGCAGAGGTCGTTTGTCTACCCAAAAATGTGGGAAGGAATTCACTGTCATCCATACGCCTACACACAGGTATATTCATACAGAGGGAGAGATCACTAAGGTGCACTCACTGTGTACAGGACAGTGGACAGGCCACTTTTGGAGTACTGTGTGCAATTCTGGTCACCCTGCTAATAGTTTAGTAACTAGAAAGGGTGCAAAGAAGACTTACAAGGACGTTACCACAACTGGAGGGGGTTCGAGTTATAAGGAGTGGCTAGATTGGCTTGGACATGTCCCTGGAGCGTCAGAGGCTGAGGGATAACCTTATAGACATTCATAAAATCAGGAGGGGCAGAGATAAGGTAACTAGCCAAGGTCTTTTCCCCAGGTTAAGGGAGTCCCAAAAACTAGAGGGCATAGGTTTAAGGCGAGAGGGGAAAGCTTTAAAAGGGACCCGAGGAGCAACTTTTTCCACACAGAGGGTGCGTGTGTATGGAATGAGCTGCCAGAAGAAATGGTGGAGGTTGGTACAATTACAACATTTAAAAGACATTTGGACAGGTACATGAATAGGAAAAGTTGAGAGGGATTATGGGCCAAACAGAAGCAAATCAGACTTGTTCAGTTTGGGAATCTCAGTCGGGAAGGACAAGTTAGACCGAAGGATCTGTTTCTGTGCTGTATGACTCTATATCAACTCACTGCACAATGGATAAAGGATTTCACCAGGAGCCTGTTGATTGCTGGTACAATTATACAACAGATAACAAGGGAGATGGACCTGCAGTATCTTTCCAGGATCCTCTTTTTTTTTTATTGATACATGTCTATTAGTTACCGGTATGTATTTGCAGTCATTCTGCAAGGCCACATCAAAGGATGCCAACAGGTCGAGAAGGATAACAGGGATTAGTTTCCCTCTGTCACATGGACATGGGATGTCATTGCGATAAGAGCTGTCCTAGTGCAATGGGAGCTCCAGGAACGACGTGCCCAGATTTGGGAGGCAACAAAGCATTTGAGGGCTTTGGAAAGTGAAAGGAGTGTGGAGGTGAGGCAGTAGTTTGCAAGGGCAGTGAGATGAAGGGCCTTTTCTCAAGGATGTAATGCATGGGGAAGAGAGGTAGTACACAGAGACCTGGAATGAAGAAGCAGGAGAGGCCCTTCGAGCCTGCTCCACCTTTCAATATGGTCATGGCTGATCCATACCCATGGATCAGGGGAAGGCAAGGGCCTAGTAGTATTATCACTGGACTGTTAATCCAGAGACCCAGATAAGGTCTGGGGACCTGGGTTCAAATCCCACCATAGCAGATGGTAGAGTCCGAATTCAGTAAAATATCTGGAATTAAGAATCTAATGATGACCATGAACCCATTGCCAATTGTTGGGGAAAAACCCATCTGGTTGACTTATTTCCTTTATGGAAGAAAATCTGCCATCCGTACCTGGTCTGGTCTACGTGTGACTCCAGACCCACTGCAATGTGGTTGACTCTCAACTGCCCTCTGGGCAATTAGGGATGGGCAATAATGCTTCCTGGTCAGTGATGCCCTCATCCAATGAATAAACTTTTACCCCTTAGATTCCCTTCAGCCCCCAGAACTGTATCTAACTCCTTCTTGAAAACATTTGATGTTTTGGCCTCGACTGCTTTCTGTGGCAGAGAATTCCACATGCACAGCCACTCTCTGGGTGAAGCCCTTTCTCCTTGTCTGAGTGTCGGAATAGATAGAAAACAGTGAGCCAACAACAGGAAGTCAGTTCGTGGAATCACAGAACCCCTACAGTGTGGAAACAGGCCCTTCGGCCCAACAAGTCCACACCGACCCTCAGAGCATCCCACCCAGACCCATCACCCTGTAACCACCTAATCTACACATCCCTGAACACTATGGGCAATTTTAGCATGGCCAATCCACCTAACCTGCACATCTTTGGGATGTGGGAGAAAACCGGAGGACCCGGAGGAAACCCATACAGACACAGGGAGAACGTGCAAACTCCACACAGACAGTCGCCCGAGGGTGGACTCGAACACGGGTTCCTGGTGCTGTGAGGTAGGAATGCTAACCACTGAGCCACTGTGCTGCCCCGAAAGGCATTTAATGCGAATGAGGCTGAGGGAGTAGAAGGTGGATCACGTCGACAAAAAGTGAGCTCTGAAAGGGCACAAGAGGGGATGGGAGGCAAACCGGAGAAAACAGAGAGTTCAGGGCTGGAGCAAGGAAAAATTTCACAGACAGTACAGCCGAGTAAGCTAGTGGGAGGGAGGGAAGTAGCACAGGCAGATGATCAAATCGTCTCAATCTCATTGAGAAAGAAACTCCATGAGCTCTTAATGCTTGTTTATTTTAATTTATTCAATTATGGGATGTGGGCATCGCTGGCTGGCCAACATTTATTGCCCGTCCCCAGTTGCCCCTCAAGAAGGTGGTGGTGAGCTGCCTTCTTGAACCGCTGCAGTCTACCTGCTGTAGGTTGACCCACAATGCTGTTAGGGAGGGAATTCCAGGATTTTGACCCAGCAACAGTGAAGGAACAGCTGATACATTTCCAAGTCGGGATGGTGAGTGGCTTGAGGTGGGGGGGGGGGTAGTCTTGAAGGTGTCTGCTGCTTTTGTCTTTCGAGATGGAAGTGGTCAGGGGTTTTGGAAGGTGCTGTCTGAGGATCTTTGCTGAATTTCTGCAGTGCATCCTGTAGATAGTACACACTGCTGCGACTGAGCGTCAGGGGTGGATGCTTGCAAATGTGGTGCCAATCAAGTGGGGGCTGCTTTGCCCTGGATGGTGTCAAGCTTCTCGACTGCGCTTGGGGCTTCACCCATGCAAGACAAGTGGGGAGTATTCCCTCACGCCCCTCACTTGCGCTTGCTGTCAGAGGTGAGGATGACACAGATGGGGAGACGCAGAGCCCTTCAAAAGAAAATAAGCCATTACAAACATTTAAAAGACACATCCACACTGTTTAAAACAAAGCTGATTTATTTGAGATTTAGTCAAGAATATTAGCCCCTAACGCTAAACTGCCATCAGCAGAAACAGACTACAAGATGACAAATAGGACTAAACCGTGTTTTTGTTTCAAAAACAGCAGAATCCTATTCTACTAGTTTATGCATGAGTGTCTCAAGCAGGTTGGACAAACTGGTAACTTCCTCCCCACATACTGACCAGTCTCTCCCCCGTGTGAATTCGCTAACGTACAGCGACTTGAGCCGACTGCCTGAAACCCATCTGATGGTGAAAAGACTCGATGCAATGTTGCTTTGCGGCATTTTCTGCACCGGGACGTTGAAAAGATTTATTTGTTTGTGTGGGTCCGCTGGTGTTTTTGCAGGTTGACCGACCGAGTGAACGCCTTCCCGCACTCGGAACAGGAGTACGGCCTCTCCCCGGTGTGAGCTCGTCGGTGGTTCTTCAGGTTGGACGAACAAGTGAATGTCTTGCCACAGTCGGAGCAGGTGAACGGCCTCTCCCCCGTGTGAACGCGCCGGTGTTCCTGCAGGTTGTACGACCGAGTGAACCTCTTCCCGCAGTCGGAGCAGGTGAACGGCCTCTCCCCGGTGTGAAGCCGCTGGTGGATCACCAGGGTGGACGACCCAGCGAAAGCCTTCCCGCACGTGGAGCAGGAGAACGGCTTCTCCCCGGTGTGGCAGCGCCGGTGAGCTTCCAGGTCCGATGGGTAACCGAACGCTTTCCCGCAGTCGTCGCACTTCCATGGCTTCCCCAGGGTGTGACTGTGCTCGTGTTTCCACAGTCCAGACCATCGGCTGTAGGCCTGCCCGCATACAGAGCACAGGTACCGTTTCTCCTCACTGTGAACAGCGCTGTTCAACGCCATGTTTGAGTCTGATCACGTCCAGGAGCCGAGAAACCGGGCGACTCGGTCAGATCCTGACGTTGACGTTTGAGTTTCCTGACTCTACTAATACTCTGCAAAACTGATTTAAAAACAGAAAAATAAAAAGGCGGGGAGGTGAGAGAGAAGCCACATAAACAGAGGTTCTGAAACTGAGCTGAATGGATCTGGCCATTTTTGAGCAGCACAGGGAAAACAGTAAAAGAAAGAGAGAGGGTCTGGGGAACATGTGTACGTGAACATCACCACTGAGCTCCCCTCTGAGTTGCACAGTGCCCTGATCTTTCTGCCAGTCGGTCCTCAACAAACAGAAACGTCTTCTGGTTAAATAGTGGAAAGACTGAAGTCACTGTCTAGCTTCCAATGCACATCTTTAACAAGTCAATTCCCATCGCTGGCCTCCGTGACCCCATTGACCCTGCTCAAGCAACTGTCTCAGAACTCCATGCTGTTCTTCAACACACATACACCTCTGCCCCTCTCCCCAAGCACTGAGAGATGTTCAAAAGCCCAAAACAAAAATAGAAACTGCAGGAAAAGCAGTTCTGAAGAAGGGTCACTCGTCCCGAAATGTTACTCTGATTTCTCTCCGCAGATGCTGCTAGACCTGTTGAGCTTATTCAGCAATTTCTGTTTTTGTTTCTGATTTACAGCATCCGCAGTTCTCTTGGCTTTTATTTAGTGTGAGACTCAAAAGGCCCCATCCTCCACTTGAACAGAAAGCCCCCCTGAACACAGAGCCCCCGTACAGTAGCAGACACCCCATCTACACACGCCACCGCCTCTCAGGCTGGTCAGATTTCCCAACCCTGACCTGCCAGAAACCCACAAGCCCAGGTTTGCTGGACCGTCATACTCAAATACCTGACGTGCACGGGGCCTGAACTCTGCACTCTCCAGATCATGGCAACAGCAGGTACGGACCGACAGGGAGGAGGAATAGCTAAAGGAAACTGAATGGTCACTTGAGCAAAAAAAAAGACCGGATTGCTCGACACAGAACCAGCATAGACTTGCTGGGCCGAAGGACCTCTCTCTTTGTGGCTCTGACCATGCGACCATAAAAAATAGGAACAAAATAGAATACACCTCCTCAAGCCTGCTCTGCCATTCAATAGGATCATAGCTGATCTGAAAATCCTCACATCCACTTTCCTGCATTTTCCCCATAATCCTTGACTCTGACTGATTAAGAGTATATCTCAGCCCTAAATATACGCAAGGACTCTGCTCCCACAGCTCTCTGCAACCACAAGTTACAAAGACAGGCAACCCTCAGAACACATTCCTCATCTTCATCTAAAACTGACACCCCTTTATTCTGAGAGTAGGCCGTTCTGTCCTGGACTCTCTCATGAGGGAAACATCCTCTCAGCATTTATCCTGCCAAGCCCATTAAGAATCCTAAATGTTTCAGTGAGATCACCTCTCATTCGTCTAACCTCCAGTGAGTAGGGTCCCAACCTGTTTAGCCTTTGCTCGTAAGACAACACCTCCATACCAGGGATCATAGTTGTGAACCTGCTTTGAAATGCCTCCAATGAAATGATATCTTTCTTTAAATAAGGGAACTAAAACTGCTCGCAGTATTCCAGAGATGACCTCATCAGCACCTTGTCCAGTTGTAGTAAGACTTCCCAACTGTTATACATCAACGCCCCATCCCACCCCTGAAATATGGGCCAACATTCCATTAGCCTTTAATATTACCTACTCCATCAGTATGCTAGTTTTCGCATTTTGTGTTACAGCTTTCAGCAGTTTTTGTCCATTTACATAAACATTCTGTTCTCCCTTTCAAAATGAACAACTTCACATTTTCACATATTGCACTCCATTTCCCAACTTTTTGCCCACTTCATTAACCAATTGACATCTCTCCGTAAACTGTATTTCTCTCTCTCTCTCAAACTGCCTTGCCTCCTATTTTTGTTGTCTGCAAATCTGGTTACAGTACATTTGCTTCCTTCCTCCAACTATATAATATATTACGCCCACCCATTGTTTCCCAACTGTGAATCTATTTGTTATCTATGCCAACTACATTGACTATATTACTTGTTGTTTGTAACCTCTCCACATAACTTAACCCTTGGAGTACAGATATCAATCAGGTAAGCCTGTGTTATATTCTTTCTAAGCTCCTCACCCAGGTGTGGTCCCAGACTGAAAACACTTCTTAGCTATGGTCTACCCAGGGTACACAGCCCCAGCAGCTTCCAATCTGGAATGATATCCAGAATTGTCGGATTTGATTCTGCTTCCTCTCTGCTGTTCCTTGGGAGGGTCTCTTTTATCCTGGTCCTTTATCTGATTAATGCCTCTCAGCTTTTAATCATTGTTCACCTAACTGAGTCATATCATGTTCTGTGTGTCATTCATTGTCCTAATCTTCCTATTTTCAAGGCCACTAAATCTCAGTCTTTGACTTTACTGATATCCCTTTACTGAGATCCAAGCACCTTCAAGGTTTGTTTTTGTTTTGAGCTGCTGTAATTATTTTAAAAATTGCTATCAACTGCCCGGATCTCTCTGTCTTGCCATCTTATTTCCTCAAACTGTGTCCAATCTCTTACATTTTCTCACTCTGCTGTTATAACCCCCACTCCTCCTTTTAATACACCTAAGATCAATCCCTGTGTAGCATTCTGTATTATTGTACTGTGTGAAAAGTTCAATATTAATCCAAGTCTTTGTTATTGTCCTGCAATAGCTGAATTGGGAATATTACAAAAACATTTGAAATCCTGAGTCCAGAATGACCACGGTCACTTTCAGCCTGGAACCGTAAACCTGCCACTTTGCTTCCAGTCAGGTGCAGATCACGGTCTGTCATGAATCTCTGACTTGGCAGTTCCTTTCCCACATTTATTGTTCTTCCTGACTCTAACCACAGCTGTGAAAGGAGCATACATTCAGTGTCCTGAAGCTCTGAACCATGAGACACACACGTTCAGTCCTGGATGTGGCTTAACAGGTAGAATCCAACTCCTGTCGTTGCTCATGAATCTGCTGATGTCTCAGCAGGGTTGAAAACTGACCGAATCCCTTCCCACACCCAGAACAAATGAATGGCCTCTCGCCAGCGTGAGCTTGTTGGTGTTTCAGAAGGCTGGATGAATCAGTGAATGCCTTCCCACACTCTGAGCAGGTGAATAGCTTCTCCCCAGTGTGAATTTGCTGGTGTACAGTTAGTTCAGATGATTGCCTGAACTCAGCTCCACAGTGGGAGCACCTGAATGATTCATCCTCATTGCAAGAACATTGATGGCACGTCAGTTCCCTGGAACTTTTATGACATTTCCCACAGTCTGGGCATGTTAAAGGTTTCTCCTTGGTGTGAACCCGCTGGTGTTTCAGCAGATGGGATGACTGAGTGAATTCCTTCCCACACTCAGAGCAGGTGAATGGCCTTGCTCCAGTGTGAACCCGCTGGTGTCTTAGAAGGTTGGATGAATCAGTGAATCCTTTCCCACACTCGGAGCAGGCGAACGGCCTCGCTCCAGTGTGAACTCGCTGGTGTCTTAGAAGATTGGATGAATCAGTGAATCCTTTCCCACACTCGGAGCAGGTGAACGGCCTCGCTCCAGTGTGAACTCGCTGGTGTGTCAGCAGGTTGAATGACTGAGCAAATCCCTTTCCGCACTGGGAACAGATGAATGGCCTCTCCCCGTTGTGACTGCGGTGGTGAACTTCCAGCTCAGAGGGGCTTCGGAATTCTTTCCCACAGTCCCCGCACTTCCACGGTTTCCATGTGGCACGGGTGTCCCTCTGTCTCTCCAGGTTGCACAATCAACTGAAGCCCTGTCTATGCACAACACGTGTTCAGTTTCTCCACACTGTGATATTTCTTCAGGCTGCGTAACTGGTTAAAGCTCTTCCCACACTCAGTTCGCACTCGGGTAAACTAGATTCTGGGTGCTCTTCTCGTCGCATCAATCATTGAAATATTTTCCCACAAACAGACAGACGAACAATTCTCCTCCCACGGTCAAAGGCTGACAATATTCAGGCCCTGACGAATCGAGAGACTGTAGGATCTCGATGTAGTGTTTGGTTTGATTTATTTTGTCTGCAATTCGTCCGCTCAATCCCCTGCAATAGGTGTTTATAAACATCTATAAGAACAGACAATTCTAGTTTTTATGGGACACTTCATCCATCTCCTGGGGCCTGAGAGTTCTCCCACCCTTCATTTACTCTCAACAATTGGAGGAACAGCCATTCCTCCTCAGCTGCCAACAATGGCCTCTTTTCTTTCCAGCCTAGGACTGATGACAATCACTAGGCCCAAGGTGAGCTGTCAACTTTGAGGTCACTGCCAGCAATGGATTAATAAGCTCCCATGGAGGGTGGAGTTTACAAATCCCAGGCATTCTCAGAGTGGGACAGAAGCGACATAGCTCAACAGAGAAGCATCGCATCTCCAACGAGAGCAAAAAGTTCTGATAATTACTTAATGGTTCTCCCACTTTTTAAAAAACATCATTCATTGAATCAACAGAAACCTCAGCCCATCAAGCCTGCTCTGCCATCCACTAAGATCACAGTTGTGGCCTTAACTCCACTTTCTTGCTTGACCCCATGAACACTGACTCCCTTGTCCAACAAAAAGATGCCTAACTCAGCCTTAAATAGAAATAATCCAGCCTCCACTGCTTTCTATAGAAAAGAATGCTAAACATTAATGGCGGCCCATCAAGAGAAGAAATCCCTTATTATTAAACAAAACCTGACAAAGGAGGAAACACCCTCTCCGCATCTACCCTGATTGGCCATCTCAGAATCCTATTTCAAGACCATTTTTCCTTGACCTACACGTCACTGAGTCCAAGCCCAACCTGTACATCTTTCCAGAAAACACAACTCTTTCATCCCAGAATAAGCCCAGTGAACCTTCTCTGGATTGGGTCCTGAAGCACAGAAATCAAACAGTATTTACATCATCTGTCAGCGTACTGAAGAAGCCATTCCCTCAATGTCACCCTGGTATAATCTTCCATCACCGCCAACAGTGCAACTTCTCAATGAGCTGCAATAGATACCCTTTTACATCCTCACAAAAGCCTCAAAAACCCCTTCCAAGTGAACTAGCAATTTAGGAGACATAGCTTTAAATTGAGGGGTGATAGATATAGGACAGATGTCAAGGTAGGTTCTTTACTCAGAGAGTAGTAAGGGCGTGGAATGCCCTGCCTGCAAAAGTAGTAGACTCGCCAACTTTAAGGGCATTTAAATGGTCATTGGATAAACATATGGATGATAATGGAATAGTTTAGGTTAGATGGGCATCAGGTTGGTTTCACAGGTCGGCGCAACATCGAGGGCCGAAGGGCCTGTACTGCGCTGTAATGTTCTATGATCTATGTTCTATTTACCTGCGATAACACAGTGTGGAGCTGGAGGAACAGAGCAGGCCAGGCAACATCGGAGGAGCAGGAAAGCTGACGTTTCGGGTCAGGACCCTTCTTCAGAAATGGGGGAAGCAGAAGGGAGCTCTGAAATAAATAGAGAGAGGAGGGGTGGGGCTGGGAAAGGTAGATGGGATGGTGATAGGTGAGTGCAAGTAGGCAGTGGTCGGGATTGGTCAGTGAGGTGGGAGGAGCAGATAGGTTGGAGAGAAGACGGACAGGTTGTGTCAGGTCAAGGAGGCAAGGACAAGAGGGAAGGTTGGTCATGGGATAAGGCTGAGAGTGGGGAGATTTTGAAACTAGTAAAGTCCACATTGAGACTATTGGATTGTAGGCTCCTAAGGCGGAATATGAGGTGCTGCTCCTCCAGTTTCCGTGTGATGTCATTTGTGACACTGGAGGAGGCTCAGGACAGACACGTTGTCCAGGGAGTGGGAGGGTGAGTTGAAGTGGTTCACGGCTGGAAGGTGTTGTTGTTTGTCACAAACAGAACACAGGTGCTCTACAAAGAGGTCTCCGAGCCTCTGCTTGGTCTCACCGACGTAGAGGAGGCCACATCAGGAGCAGCGGACGCAGTAGGCCGCATTAGCAGATGTGCAGGTGAACATCCGTCTGATGTGGAAGGTTTTTTGGGTCCTTGGATGGAGGCGAGGGGGGAGGTGTAGGGGCAGGTGTAGACTTCCTGCAGTTGCAGGGAAAGGTGCCGGTGGTGGTGGGGCTAGTGGGGAGTGTGGAGCAGATGAAGAAGTCGTGGAGAGAGTGGTCCCTATGGAAGGCAGATAGGGGTGGTGAAGGAAATATATCCTTGGTTGTGGGATCAGATTGCAGATGGTGGAAGTAGCGCAGAATGATATGTTGAATCTGGCGGTTACTGGGGTAATACGTGAGGACAAGGGGTATTCTCTCTTTCTTTTTGTTGCAGGGAGGGGATGTGAGGGCAAAGGTGTTGGAAACGCAAGAGATGCGGTCGAGAGCATTTTCAACCACTGAAAGGGGGGGGGGGGGGGGGGGTTGCAGTCCCTGAAATGAGAACATCTGGGATGTTCGGGAGTGGAACGCCCTATCTTGGGAGCAGACGCGGCAGAGGCGGAGGAACTGGGAGAAGGGAATCGCGTTCTTGCAGGGAAGGTGGTGAGAACAGGTGTAGTCTACGTGGGAGTCGTTGGGCTTGAAATAGATATCGGTTTCGAGGCAGTCACCAGAGATGGAGACAGAGAGGTCCAGGAAGGAGAGAGAGAGGTATCAGAGATGGTCCAGGTGAACTTGAGGTTGGGGTGAAAGATGTTAGTAAAGTTGATGAACTATTCAAGCTCCTCGTGGGAGCACAAGGCGGAGCCGATACAGTCACTGATGTAGTGGAGGAAGAGATGGGGATAGTGCCAGTGCAGCTGCGGAAGAGGGACTGTTCCACGTATCCTACGAAGAGGCAGGCATGGCTTGGGCCCATGAGGGTTCCCATGTCCACCCCCTTAGTCTGTAGGAAGTAGGAGGAGTTGGAGGAGAAGTTATTAAGGGTAAGGACAAGTTTGGTTAAGCGGATGAGGGTGTCCATGGAGGGGGACTGGTTGGGCCTGCGGGAGAGGAAGAAGTGGAGGGCTTTTAGGCCATCTGCGTGGGGAACGCAGTGCATTTCTTTCAACATTAACTATTGCTCACAATGGAATCTCCTCTGAACTGGAAAAGCCAATCGTAGAATGAAGTCCACTTTATGGAACATCTCAACTGAATCCTCAAGCAAAACTCTTGACTTACCAGCTGCACGCTACCTGAATTCATTACCTTATTTTCATAGTGACATTTCTGTCTGCAGTCATATTCCAGTGAGGTTTCATGCAGGGTGGAGAAACAGGCACCTCAACTTCCAATAAGTACTTCTGTACTCAAAACTGCATTCACCAGATTTCAAGCTGTGAACCCTTGTCACCCATTTTCATTCATTCATTCATTCATTTATTGTTTTGCCACATGCCTATTTATATCTCGCTCAGAGAAATTTCTACCTTGATTTTTTATTTGAGGCAGGCCTTTCATCGTTCTTGCATAAACACCCAATGCGAACCGATGCTTCGTTACTTGACATCAACTATTAGCATCACCATTGACTCCAGGACATCTTTAACATTGACCATCTCCTGCCTTGTCCCCCCTCCGGGTCCTTCCCTTTTGTTCCCCTACAGCTGGGCAGCGCATGCGCACCTCACGGCGCTGCCTTTTATAAAGATGGCGGCCGTCAACTCGGGCCTGAGGGAGGCTGGTGACTGCCTCCTCCTTCCCCCGTTTAGAGCAAACAGAGGAACCGGGAGTTTTGCATGCGTGTTTACAGCTTCTACCGAGCGTTTATGTAAGCTTGCCGCCCGATCCGGCGGTCAGCTCCGTTACTTACGGGTCAAACGGCAAGGCTTCAGCCGCCGGCAACGTCAAACGTGACGGCCCAACACCGACTTCATACTGACCCTGCGCATGCTCCAGCTCACCATGGGGACCCTGTGATTGACGGCAGCACTGGGCCAATAGGAAGCTGGGACCCGGTGATTGATGGCTACTCCAGACCAATAGGAAGGGGGCGCGGGGCTGGGGGACAAGTTTGGAAAAGGTTAAAATCGAATCAGAGATAGTAGGAACTGCAGATGCTGGAGAATCCGAGACAAC